TCCAGCACCTCCATGGACTGCGAGATGTTCTGCACCTGCAGGGGTTAATTGGGGTCATTAATTGGGTTAATTACAGTCATTAGTGGGGTTAATTACAGTCATTAGTGGGGTTAATTACGGTCATTAATGGGGTAATTGGGGAATTATTGGGGTTAATGAACACCCCGGGATCCGCAGGTCCAGCACCTCCATGGACTGCGAGATGTTCTGCACCTGCAGGGGTTAATTGGGGATGGTAATTGGGTTAATTACAGTCATTAATGGGGTAATTTGGGTCATTAATGGGGTAATTTGGGTCATTAATGGGGTAATTGGGGAATTATTGGGGTTAATGAACACCCCAGGATCCGCAGGTCCAGCACCTCCATGGACTGGGAGATGTTCTGCACCTGCAGGGGTTAATTGGGGTCATTAATTGGGTTAATTACAGTCATTAGTGGGGGTAATTACAGTCATTAATGGGGTAATTGGGGAATTATTTGGGTTAATGAACACCCCAGGATCCGCAGGTCCAGCACCTCCATGGACTGGGAGATGTTCTGCACCTGCAGGGGTTAATTGGGGATGGTAATTGGGTTAATTGGGGTCATTAATGGGTTAATTACAGTCATTAGTGGGGTTAATTTGGGTCATTAATGGGGTTAATGAGGGAATTAATGGAATCCTCATCCCAGGAATTCCCACCCCTGGAATTCCCAGAGGAATTCCCATCCCTTGGGAATCCTCTGGAATTTCCATCCCTTGGGAATCCCACGGGAATTTTCCCCTCTGGAATCTCCAGGAATTCCCATCCCTGGAATCCCCCAGGAATTCCCATCCATGGGAATCCAAAATCCCCCAGGAATTCCCATTCCTTGGGAATCCTCTGGAATTCCCATCCCTGGAATCTCCAGGAATTCCCATCCCTGAGAATCCTCTGGAATTCCCATCCCTGGGAATCCTCCAGGAATTTCCATCCCTGGGAATCCCACAGGAATTTCCATTCCTGGAATCTCCTGGAATTTCCATCCCTTGGGAATCCTCCAGGAATTCCCATCCCTTGGGAATCCCATGGGAATTTTTGGTTCTGGAATCCTCTGGAATTCCCATCCCTGAGAATCCCACGGGAATTTTTCCCTCTGGAATCTCCAGGAATTCCCATCCCTGGAATCTCCAGGAATTCCCATCCCTGAGAATCCCACTGGGAATTTTTCCCTCTGGAATCTCCAGGAATTTCCCATCCCTTGGGAATCCTCTGGAATTCCCATCCCTTGGGAATCCCACGGGAATTTTCCCCTCTGGAATCCTCTGGAATTCCCATCCCTGAGAATCCCACGGGAATTTTCCCCTCTGGAATCCCCAGGAATTCCCATCCCCTGGAATCCTCTGGAATTTCCATCCCTTGGGAATCCCACGGGAATTCCCACCCCTGAGAATCCCACGGGAATTTTTCCCTCTGGAATCCCCTGGAATTCCCATCCCTTGGGAATCCTCTGGAATTCCCATCCCTGAGAATCCCACAGGAATTTTCCCTCTGGAATCCCCAGGAATTCCCATCCCTTGGGAATCCTCTGGAATTCCCATCCCTGAGAATCCCACGGGAATTTTTGGTTCTGGAATCCTCAGGAATTCCCATCCCTGGAATCTCCAGGAATTCCCATCCCTGGGAATCCCACGGGAATTTCCCCCTCTGGAATCTCCTGGAATTCCCATCCCTTGGGAATCCCACGGGAATTTTCCCCTCTGGGAACCCCTGGAATTTTTAACCCCAAACCCCCCCAGGGAATTCCCACCCTGGAACCCCCCCCCAGACCCGAATTAACCCCTTCCCTCCCTCTCCCCTCCCGGAATTCCGGCTTTTCCCGACCTTTTCCAGGAGCTGTCGGAGCTGGAGGCCGCGGAGGTCGCGGGCGCAGGATCCCTGCACGGGAATCACGGCCGTGCACAGGCAGCGCCCGTCCGGAGCCTGCGCCGAGCTCAGCACCTGCCAGCCCTCGTCTGGGCTCTGGAAAAGGGTCTGCAAAAATGGGAAAAACACCCAAAATTCCCAAAAAATCCAGTCATAAAAAATCCCGCTCCAAAACCCATTTATTCCCATTTTTTCCCCATTTTTCTCTGATTTTTCTCTGATTTTTTTCTCCATTTTTTCCCCATTTTTCCCCATTTTTTCCCATTTTTTCCCCATTTTTCTCTGATTTTTTCCCCCTCTTTTTCCCCATTTTTTCCCATTTTTTTCCCATTTTTTCCCATTTTTCTCTGATTTTTCCCCCTCTTTTTCCCCATTTTTTTCCCATTTTTTCCCCATTTTTTTCCATTTTTTCCCCATTTTTTTCCCACTTTTTCCCATTTTTTCCCCATTTTTTCCCCATTTATTCCCATTTTTTTCTCATTTTTTCCCCATTTTTGCCACATTTTTCTCCATTTTTTGCCATATTTTTCCTAAATTTTCCCCATTTTTTTCCCATTTTTTCCCTTTTTTCCCCATTTTTTCCCTCTTTTTTTCCCATTTTTTCCCATTTTTCTCTGATTTTTTCTCCATTTTTCCCCCATTTTTTCCCCATTTATTCCCCATTTTTTCCCATTTTTTCCCATTTTTCCCCCATTTTTTCCCCATTTTTCTCTGATTTATTCCCCATTTTTTCTCCATTTTTCCCCATTTTTTCCCATTTTTCTCTGATTTTTTCCCATTTTTCTCTGGTTTTCCCCGGTTTCTCAGCACCTGCCAGCCCTCGTCTGGGCTCTGGAAAAGGGTCTGCAAAAATGGGAAAAACACCCAAAATTCCCAAAAAATCCAGTCATAAAAAATCCCGCTCCAAAACCCATTTATTCCCATTTTTTCCCCATTTTTCTCTGATTTTTCTCTGATTTTTTTCTCCATTTTTTCCCCATTTTTCCCCATTTTTCCCCATTTTTTCCCCATTTTTCCCCCATTTTTCTCTGATTTTTTCCCCCTCTTTTTCCCCATTTTTTTCCCATTTTTTTCCCATTTTTTCCCCATTTTTTCCCCATTTTTTCTCCATTTTCCCCCATTTTTTCCCATTTTTCTCTGATTTTTTCCCATTTTTCTCTGGTTTTCCCCGGTTTCTCAGCACCTGCCAGCCCTCGTCCGGGCTCTGGAAAAGGGTCTGCAAAACCGGGAAAAACACCCAAAATTCCCAAAAAATCCCAATCCCAGGAAATCCCATTTATTCCCATTTTTATCTGATTTTTTCCCCATTTTTTTCCCATTTTTCTCTGATTTTTTCTCCATTTTTCCCTCATTTTTCCCCTCTTTTTCCCCATTTATTCCCATTTTTTTCCCTTTTTTTTTCCATTTTTTCCCCACTTTTTTCCCATTTATTCCCATTTTCCCCCATTTTTTCCCCATTTTCCCCCCATTTATTCCCATTTTTTCACATTTTTGCCACATTTTTCTCCATTTTTTGCCATATTTTTCCTAAATTTTCCCATTTTTCCCCATTTTTCCCCATTTTTCCCCATTTTTCCCTCAGGACCGCTCCCCCCTCCCCTCGCTGACGTCACAACCGCACTGACGTCACAACCGCGCTGACGTCACCCTTAAGAAAACCCCTCCAAATCCCCCCCAAGATTTCGGGATAAATCCCTAAAAAAATTCGGGATAAACCCCGATTAAAAAATCCCCAAATCCCGATTTTCCACCCCAAAAAAAACCGGGAATAAAAATTCCCAAAAAAACCGCGGCGGGAGCAGCCGCAGCCCCTCCCCCACCCCCGGGAGCCGCCGGGAATCGTTAATTAAGGGAGCGTTAATGAATAATTAATGAGCGCGGCCTGCACGAGGAGCGGGGAGGGAAATTCGGGATTTTTTTGGGAATTTTTTGGGAATTTTTGGGGAATTTTTGGGGAATTTTTGGGAATTTTTGGGGATTTTTGGGGAATTTTTGGGAATTTTTGGGGATTTTTGGGGAATTTTTTTGGAATTTTGGGGAATCTTTGGGGAATTTTTTGGGAATTTTTTGGGAATCTTTGGGGAATTTTTGGGGAATCTTTGGGGAATTTTGGGGGGATTTTTGGGGAATTTTTTGGGGAATTTTGGAGGGGAAAAAGGGGGAAATTCCTTGAGATTTTTTTTGGGGAAAAAAGGGGAATTCCCAAAGATTTTGGGATTTTTTTGGGGGGAGGAAAAAAATTGGGAATTTTCCAACGGTGATGGAAAATGGGGAATTCGGGAATTTGGGGGGGAAAATCCCAATTTTTCCTCCCAAATTCCCAATTTTCCCCCCCAAATCCCAAATTTTCCCCCCTCAATTCCCAATTCTAGCCCAAAAATTCCCATTTTCCCCCCCAAATTCCCATTTTTTCCCCCAAATCCCAATTTTTCCCCCCAAATTCCCATTTTTCCCCCCAAATCCCAAATTTTCCTCCCAAATCCCAAATTTTCCTCCCCAATTCCCAATTTTTTCCCTCCCAATTCCCATTTTTCCCCCCCAAATTCCCAATTTTCCCCCCCAAATCCCAAATTTTCCTCCCCAAATCCCAAATTTTCCTCCCCAAATTCCCAATTTTCCCCCATCCAGGAATTTCCATTTTCCTTTGGGAACCGGAGGAGGAAAAAAATCGGGAAAAATTAAAAAAAATTCCCTTTTTTTCCCCAAAAAATCCGGGAAAAAAATCCCCAAAACCTCCCGGGATTTTTGGGTTGAATTCCGCCCATTTCGGTGATTAATGAGGAACAAGGGAGCTTAATGAGCTCCCTTAATGAGGCGCTAATTAACGTCCGGCGGCTGCTAATTACCCGCGGTGTTGATTGACAGCTGGGGGAGGGGGAGCTGGGAATGAGATCCTAAAAAATTCCCTAAAAATTCCTCAAAAAATTCCCAAAAATCCTCCAAAAAAATTCCAAAATATTCCCAAAATCCCCTCCAAAAATTCCCTAAAAATTCCCCAAAATTCTCCCCAAAATTCCCAAAAAATCCTAAAAATTCTTCCCAAAATTCCCAAAAATTCCCCCAGAATTCCCAAAAAATCCCCCCAAAATTCCCAAAAAATCCTAAAAAATCCCCCCAGAATTCCCAAAAAATTCCCAAAAAAATCCCCCCAGAATTCCCAA